ACTTTCTGGTTTTGCTGATAATGCAATCAATGCAGAAGCAACAACAATTTAAGCTGTTATAGTATGTTCATTATTTTCAGAATACAAAGAAATTATTGGACTAGTACCAGTACTTAATATGATTGCTGAAGATGAACTACATATATGTAATAACAAGAAGCAATACATTAAAATTAATAATAATGCTTATTCTATAGTATGTTGTCTTTTGTATAGTATGCAGAAAAAATTAATGATTTTAAACAGTGTATGAAATGTATGATCGAAAAAATAGTGTTAGGGAAACATTAGCATTTCTGTGAAATATTGTTATCTATAATTACGCAATATTTAATTGTGTATTAATATTATAAAACACTAAATATTTTTTATTTATTGCAAATTGCAGTTTTATTACTTTTCGTTTGGTATCTATTCTTTCAAACATTGTGTAATTCGCGTTATTTTAAATATTGCCGTATTATGTATGCTTATTAGATTATCTCAATAAATGAATGTTGGAAATTAGGTTTTATTTTTTATTAAATTTAAGTATATTCTATTGCCGTTATGTATGTTTATTAGATTATCTCAATAAATGAATGTTGCAAATTAGGCTTTATTTTTTATTAAATTTGAGTATATTCTATTTTCTTCACTTAATTTTTATGTACTTGTGATAACAAAGAAATTCATAATAGAAAGAAACAAAAAGTTTCATCATGTGCTATTTAACGAAGAGCTTACTTTAACGTACTTAGCTTACTATCGTATACTATATTATTTAAATTATTTCTGTACAGTAACAAAAGGAAAGTTATTGATTATAAAAACTGTATGAAATAATCATTGTAATCTACCACTATTCTAAAATGTAGAAACTAAAAATAAGGAAATACGTTAACATATGATCGAAAGAAATGGTGTTAAGAAACATCAGCATTACTAGTAAATACTGCAATCCATAATTATTGCACTCTTAATTGCTTACTATTTAAAAAATGCAAATAATTTTGTAATCATTGGAAATTTTAGTTCTGTTACTTTCCTTCTGCTATTTATACTTTCAAACACTGCTAGTTCATGTTTTCATGTATTATGTTTGTTAGGTTATTATTTCTTTTTAGATATAAATATGGGAAGTTTTTTTTTTTTTTAATTAGATTTAGGTATATTTTTGTATGAAATATGTTTAATCACATTTATTAACTACTTTATACAGTCTTTCATTTGCATATCTTAAAGATATGGAGATATAGAAGTTAATGATTATATTTTTTATTATGAAATGCAAATAAATTTATACAGTCAAATGTCTTTAATCCGAACTCGTCGGGACTTCGGCGATTCCGGATTATAGATCATCTATTTAAATCTGGTGAGATGGCATGCAGAAATTATAAAATTAAAAATCTGAAACTGTAATTTATGAAATAAAGAACAATTATGATCTAAAGGGTATCAAAATTTACAAAAAAAAAAAAAAAAAGCTTAAATATTTATTTGTTTACTTTATTAAACATTTTTTTCAACGCGCTCATGCGTAAAGCATATATTATGCATAGTCGAAATTAGAAAATTGCAACCAGAAAACTATTTGATGTGTATTCATGATACTTATAATGACGAGGAATTTGATTTAAATCATATCAAGGACGGAGTACATCGAGATGAAATACTACATTTAGTAAGGAATTATAAGCCGAATAAAATAAAAACATCTGTCCTGAAGATAAGGATAGTGCTGACAGATCAACTTCCAGTTCATTGCACGCCAGATTTCGGAATGGTTAGAAAAACAAAGGATATGCCTTTATCCATTTTTTGCAGCAATTCCGCTTTTTGTTTGATGGACATCGAAACATGGCTTTCACTTTGTAGATCCTTGGGCAGCTCCAGAATTGGGAAACTCTTTTTGACATAATTAAAAGTTCAAGCTTAGTTTTTAATAAAATTGCCGTAATAATAACAGTCTGCTAAAAATAATAAGCCGGATCCAATTTGAAGATTAAGGAACAGCGCAATCTGCAACATTAACTGAAATAGATAATTAGATAATTTTGAGCTTAGCGTATACCGTCCGTTATACATTAAACGCGCATGCGTAAACGCAAATGCACATGCGTAAATGCATAATGTGTTTGTGCATGCGCAGAAAGTTTGTAGCTTTGAGGTCCAGATTATAGATCATTCCGGATTATGGACGTCCGGATTAACGACTTTTGACTGCACTGATAAAATACTGATTATGTTACCTTAAGAACCGCTTCCTAATTTATCATGACAGGAGCAATTTTCAATGTCTCTGAGATTTAACAGAAATAAATGTGATAATGCTGTTATAATCAGAAATACTCTTTTTTTTTTTTTTTTTTTTTTTTTACCTACATGTATATCTTTACTTTTATTTGTGTCTGATTAAGTTTTAAAAAACCTACTATTAATGTTATATATTTATGATGGCCACTTTCATAATTACTTTCTCACTTACATGCTAAAGTATTAAGGGAAAAAAATGATGAAATCTTAAATAATCATAACTTAGAATTTAAATTATTTAAAAAATATAGTTTAAAGTACTGAAAATAATTAAGGCTATTATTAATTATGCATATTTAGTCTAAAGCGAAAAAATTGTATTATCTTATGGTTTTCAGGAAATGATAAAATATTTAAACTTTAGAAAAATACAAGGAATACAAAAATTTAAAAAAGAAGAAAAATATATTAATTATTAAGCTTATTTTTCTGCATAAATCAATATGTAACACAAGGACATAATAACGACATTTTCACAACTGTTGCAAGAAGGTGCAATTTTGCGAACATGTAGGCATCTTTAAGACTTCGTGATACAATGCTTTCACAACCAAAATGTCACCTGCGAAAGATGCAATAACGATGTCTATGTGACAAAACCCTCATCTGCAAAGACGTAATAAAGACATCTTTGCAAGGGTTGCAAAACAGTGGAGTTTCATAGACATCTGGGCGTCTTAAAGACGACATATTGCAACGTTTTTACAACATGACTCATGACCAGTTTGCAACGTCATCACGGCGCTACTTGGAAAATATCCTGGAATTACAGTTTATGCACAATTTAACTTTTTTTAAATTAATTTTATACTTTCTGTAAAGATTTTAAAAATTTAGCGTGTTTTGTGATTTTTTTGTAAATAAAAGCGTATTTATGAAAGACTTCATCATCCCTTTCTGAGCTGGATTAACCATTAAGCAAAATAAACATATGCTTAGGGCATAAAGAAAAGGGGTCAAAGCAAAAATGTACTTAGGAACTCAGGAAAGGGAGCACCATAAAACTTTCTCAAGGATAGTTTTACTATGGAATGTATGAATCAAGGAGAGAGAAGAAATAAGGAAAAAAATGGCATAAATGAATGTGGGGGCACCGAAATCTTTCAAGTGCTTATTTCCCTAAAAGTCTTAATCTGGTCCTGCCTCCCTCTGGAACTGTAAAATCTCTCCTACCCTGTCTGAAAATCCCTGATATACAGTGGAACCTTGGATCACAATCACCTCACTTCCTGAACAAACTGGACAATAAATCCCTCAGATCATAAGCAGTGTCTTGAGTTACAAACACTCAAATCAGTAACAAGATTTTTAAAGGTGTTTTCAGTTAACCCATGCCACATAACTAATACTCTGGAAACATCATGTAATGCTTTCCATTGCTTGATTCTCATTAACAAAGCTTAGCAGCAAGTGCCTTACAGAACATGAATTTGGTCTGGAGGAAATTATAGCCAGATTGGATTGTAGACAAAGGTTTTTAAGCACTTTAATACTTAAAATCCTCCCTTTTTTATGTGTGTGTGTGCTTGCTTGCTTGTTTGTTTGTTTTAGTTAGTGTTATCTTTAATACTGTGTCTCTAGGCAAAACCATGAACTAGGAAGTTAATGAAGAAATCAAGCAGTTTTTAGAGGATCATAAAAAAAAAAGTTTGATGAGAAAGAATTATAACTTAAGAAGCAGCCCCAAAAGGCCACTGTAGAAGAAATCCTTTCAGAAAAAAGTAATCCTAGTTCTCTGATCTGCAAAATGTATGAAAATAGCATAATATCCAAAGTTTTCACATAATGTATCATCCCGATAAAGCAGTAGCAAGCTGTAAAATAAGCATTTTCAAAGACATTGCTAAGCAATGTTTTAAAATTTAGCAATAACAAATCACATTAGACAAATTTTGAGTCAAACAGAGGCCCATTGAGTCTCAAGTGCAGGTGAGTGAAAATAAAAGAAGGGTCTGATGTTAATAATATATCTCTCATCATTTTCCTTTTATGCTGTCTATTCTCATTTATATAGCTACAGTAAAATTAAATTTTTATCTGTTTAGTTTTGTGTTAAACTTTTTTATTGTTGTTGTTCTCAGTATTTAGTGATTCCCATTAGTTTTGGGCTATGAACTTGTGCACAACTTAGTGTTATAAAGTTTAAGTAAGTAATCATCTCTGATCCAGGAATACATAAAATCATTTTACATTAATTCCTATTGGGGATATTGTTTTGGTTTACAAAACATTTTGAAACAGCCTTCAGGTGTAAATTAAATTCATAAACCGAGATTTCACTATATTATGAGATAACAAAGATAAAGATAGCTTGCACGAATCTGACTCTGAATATAAAATAGATAATAATATGGATGCAGATTTTGATGACTACGAAGAATCCCAGGAAAGGATTTCGTAGGATCCAGGATATTCTGTAAGTCTTTGGAAGAAAGTGACAAATACTTTACCTAGTGGTAAATAAGTACCATTATTAATCAGTAAATCAATTCTTCTGCTAAAATAAAATGTTTGCTAGATCTAATTTAGTGCTTCATATTTTTTTTTAAAGTTTTTAACCTTATTGTTGGTACTGAAATTAATAAAGAAATTACATATTTTCAATGTTAAGAATTTTTGTATTTATCAACTAAAATTTAGATCTGTTTTATAATGTGTTTTCATAATTGCAAAGTTTTAAAACTATAAATATTTATTTCTAGATAATTCTAGCACTTACCTTGTGTTTACATGTCTTCTGGATTGCCTTCATTTCATTCTACTGGATAAACCCACAGAAATTGCTTATATTATAAGCTGTTTTTCAAATACTGTGATGGTATAAATTTCTTTATTTTAGTTATTACCTTTACTTTTTCCTAGTTATATATATGAACAGGTTTGATAGAGAAGAAATAGCTTAAGCTGAAATAGATTATCAGAGTATGCATATGATCATCTCTCACTTTTGCTTGGCTATGTGTTCATTTCTTACTCTATTTTAATAATTTTAAATCACTATTTTGTTTACAACTATTATCCCTCTTTTTTTAAAGGCAGATTTGTGAATTAATTATTTTATTGAATGTTTGTGATCATGGCAGTACTGTAAAAATATATATAACTAGAAATGGTAAGAAATGTTTGCATAGAACAGAATTTGAAGAATTTGAATTTGAATTTTTTAGTTTTCTCGCATAAAAGAAAAATATTTTTTAGTTTTCTCGCCATTGGTGAGAAAACTAAAAAATATTTTTCTTTTATATTATTGACTGTAATCACACTAATATAATAAAACAAAAGAAGCTTGGATATGGAAAAAAGTAATAATGTATGAAATATTGTAAACACTGACAGTCACAATTATTTGTTAATGTTTTTATAACCATTTAGCTGGATGTGAACTAAAAAACTCATAAAAGGTAATCTGCAATTTAAGAACACATATAAGGTTTCACCATGGCCTAATTAATACTAAGTCATCCGGTACTGGTATGCTTAAAGCTGTGTTATGCAGTTCGATTTCATCTTCTATTGCAAGTATGGTTCATGATCTGCTTTTTTCTTAGTTCCTGTAATTCCTGAAGTCTCGTTTCTAGGATACCGATTCGTTCAACGCACCATAGCAAGGAGTTCGGTGGATATTTAGGAGGGCTATCCTGCACTTTTTTAGCTTCTTTCTTTTTTTGCTATAGCTTACGTGATGCCGCCGTTGAGAGTCACCATTAGCCAAAAGATACTTACTAGCAAGTCAAGTAGTCTAAGCAGAGCTTCGTTAATTCTGAACTCGTCTCTTAGCTCAGCACTCAGAATTTTGATAATGAATCAATGAATGATATGATAAGATGATATGGATAAGATGTTTATCATTATTTTTTATTTCTCCATTTCAGTGAACTTAATAGTCCTTCATCTTTTTTCAATATATATACAATTGATTCTGGCTGAACAAATTTGTGACTCTTTTTGAGGCATTCAAAATCATCCAGTTTTTTCATTTTGTATTCGCGGTGATCTCTGTTCATTTCTCTGCAAAAAGCCCAAGAAATACATTGTTATGGGAAAATCATTCATCAATTCCCTGGACCTCCTGCTTTATTATTTTGCTCTTCTTTTAGCATTGTGATGCATACTTATTTAAAATATTTCTGCAATGAGACATGTATAACTAGGCTTGCCAGATTTGAGAAATGTTCAACCGGAATGCCCCCTGGCGACGCGGGTATTCAAATATACACACCCTTAGTGGTTCTTCGGAGTGTTTTAGAGGGTCGTTTATTTTCAGTGTTATGAATAAATGGTTACTTAATAGGAACCTAAACCATGGGTATTAATAAATGACACAAGCATATGAATTTAAATATTTTATTTCTTACATACTAATATTTATAAGTAACTTAAGTAAGAAGAAACTCTTTAAATGAGGAATAAAAATGTGAACAATATTTACATGTAGTTTTCATTGGCTAGGACTTTTTTGGAAAGTCTTTTTTGGTTTTAATCTTGTTGCAAAAATCTTCACAAGCTAATCCGATATTAATTTTACTGTAAAATTGGACTCGCCCGAAAAGCCTCTCACATCACACATGGTCACAATTGGTGAGACGACGGTATGATGACAATATTATTTATTCGCAGATCATCACTCTTTTATAGTTTTCACCTTTCATACAGTATAGAGATAACTGACAAAGTAATTATCCTAAACAATACTTCACAGTTAATTATTTGTAGACTTTTTTGGTCATCTATAAAATCAAATTTAATTTTTACCGGAACGAGAAGTAAACCGGCAGGGCACCGAGATTTTTGTCTGGAAACCAGAACTGTCCCGGTCAAACTGGGACGTATGGCAAGCCTATATATAACTAATATTTATGGAATACTGTGCTTACTTCTCTACTGCTGCTGATGATATATCTTAAGTATAGTGATTAAATATGGTTGTCCTCAAACAATTTTCCCTTCTTAATTCAGTATATTGCATGCATTATTAACAATGCATTTTCAAAATATTCTTTTTCCATAACTTAACATCATGATTGTTTGCATAAATACTGTCATCTTTCAAAATACTGCTTTGGGGAAATGGATTGTATTTGTTTTTCCGTGCCTCATTACATTCTTAATTGTCATAATTATATTGGGTTTTAACGAAAGTTTCCTGACACTGCAAATATTGTATGCACAAACAGTTCAGGTTGGTGCGTTAAATCATATTTTGTCAAACAACTTTTGGCGTTTGAAAGTAAGAGACTTGTTTTAGAACATTGTGTTATAAAATTTGTAAAAAAATATAGTACAAAATGTGTGAATAGGGCTATCATGCTACTAGATTAGAACCATCATTTATTTTCAGTTCTGTTGCAAAAGGTCAGCTATGGAATGTCACCAAATCATGTGTACAAGTTTAAGTACTAATGTTATATTATGTAACACTGTCACGCTGTGGTACTGAAAGTTTAAAACCAAGGACTATGACATTCAAGAAGCAGAGCACTTTGACTGGCCTACTGATGTTGATAAGGCCTGCCTGCAAGAACTTGTGGAAGAAGATCAGTATGCCCCCACTTAAGAGCTTACTAAGGAGTTAGATGTTAGTACCATGTTCATTAGTCACACTATGCATCGTATAAACTTGACATACAAGTTCAGTCGCTGGGTTCTGCATGAGCTGACTCAAGCAGATAAGGGCAGATGTGTTCGGGCCTGCAGTAGTCTGCTTGAGTATCAACGCAAGGACAAAATTCTGGACCGAATCATCATTTGGGATGACAAGTGGATTTACTTCAACAACATAGACCGAAAAGGGGGTTGGTCTGTATCTGGTGAGCCTGTCGCCAGTGTCGCAAAGTGTAATTTGACTAACAAAAAGATCATGCTTTTTATTTGGTGGGATTGCTGTGGTATTATCCACAAAGAGTATCTGGAAAAAGGTAAAACCCGTAATGTGTACAGCGAGATGGTAGTCTGTGTTAACGCTGTTATCAAGGAAAAATGTCGAACTGAGTTCCGGCACAAAAAGATAATGTTCCATCAAGATAATGCAGGACCACATGAATCTTAATTCACCGGCTGGACTCTGAACGGCCTCGAATTGGACCTTTTGCCAGACACACCATATAGACATCGCTCCTTTAGACTTCTACCTTTTTTCACACCTGCAGCATCTTGCTGGTGTTATCTTCCATTCCGTACAGGACATCCGAAATGAGGCTGATCTGCTTTTGGACTTGCGGCCACCAAGTTTCTGGGCCGGACACTTTAGAAAACTACCAAAATGTTGGCAGAAAATCATACATTTGGGTGGTGATTACTACCTGCACTAAAGATACTGCTTTTTAAAGTTTTCCCCCTTAACTTTATTAAGAACTTTTTTTTTTTTTTTTTTTTTCTTTTTTCTTTTGGAGGGGAGACTTTCGTTACTACCAGTTTTTTTTTTTTTTTTTTTTTTTTTTTTTTTTGTATTCGTTACTACCAGCCAACGGTGCTCTAAAAGTTTTTTTGTTTGGTAATCATCTTAGTCTTTTATAATGGCAAATAAGATTTAATGAAAGAAAGAAAACTAAATTACACGGTAGCTCTGCACTGATTCACAGGACTCACATTTCCATTAAAAACATTTCCTGAGTTTATTTAATGTATATAAATTTTTTCATTAAGTTACTTTTTCTATTTTTTTTTATTGAGAGCTGTTAGGAGTTATTTTAGAAACACTTAATGTAAGCAATTTTTATCTAAATTAGTTATGAAAAAAATTTTGAAATGAATTACTTGATACTATGTTGTATGATTTTTCTAGTTGATTTGTCACTTGGTTCATTTGAATTCCCAGTTAGTAGTTCTGTTTGTTCTGAATTTTGTTTTGTTTCAAATTTTCAATTAAAGTTGTCATATATTTTATCTTGTAATATGACTTTATTGTTAAATCATTGTAAACTGTTATTTCATTTGTTTCACATGTAATTCAGTGTCATTATAATGTGCTGTCTGCCAAAAAAATAAGTCTAATAATAAAAATAATCAGATAAGATTATTTAATTTTTTTAAAAATTTTTGCATAAAACTGTATTTTATTTTTATAATGATTTTAAAAAAAAAAGAAAAATTAAGTAAAATTACCAAAGAATTAAAAATTAATTATCATGGATAAAAAATGAAGAATGAAAATTTAAATCAAAAATATAAAACCTATTACATCATCAATAAAAATATTAGATCAAATAAAGTACCCCACATATTAGATCAAATAAATCTAATGAAATCTAACCGATGAAATGACAAAGTCGTTTCTTTAGATTTTTTTTTTCAAGGTTTACCATTCAAAAAAGTTTGTATCATTTACTTTTCTTTACTTAATGAACAACATATCTTATTAGTGTGCATTTGACCTAAATTCAGATGAATTGAAAAGATTATGGTAATGAGATGAAATACTGAAAGTTTGTTAGTTTCAAAGGGAGAGTTTGCCAACTCTGAATAAACTGAAATTTCTTAATATAATTCCTCAACAGATGGAAGCTGTTGAAAAATTGAATTATGAATGACTGTTGCAAGAATTTCACATTTTAGAAGGCCTGCTATTATTTCTCTGCCCAACCAAAAATATGCTAAAGAACATACTGTTGTGAGCTATGGGGTCATTGATATTTCTTTGAATAACAAATCCAGATAAGCAGGAAGAAATGAACAATTCATTAGGAAAATAAGCACAATAAATAGTACACACAGCACAATAATGGTTGGAAATAACTCAAGGGGAACACAGATATTCAGCAATTGCTCTTTAACACATGAAATAAATTGTACAGTTCCTCAAATCACTCTCAAGGTAAAACCCCTAACTCGTAGTTCAGCTAACC